GTGTTTGTGGTAAACAGCCGCGGATCAGGAGCGGACTGCAAACGCGTCCTGTGCGAAAGCAAAATGAGTCCGTGCTGCTTCTGCACCGCATACACATACTGTATATGCACTGCAGACGGAGTACGTGTGAACTTGGCGCAACAAATCTAGTTCAACATCTGAGGCAACGCCACAAAGAGCTCTATGACCAATGCATGGCAAAAAAAAAATCCCTGGACACTGGATTTTTTTTTTTCTGCCATATGTCTATTCTAGAGACATTTTGTTACACATTTACTTAGTGATTATTTTGCCTTATGTCTGTTCTAGAGACATGTTACAGCTTTTTGATAAAGCTCTAATTGGTTTTCTTTTGGAAATATGTTTCAAATTCACACTGAATGCATTAATGACTGTTAAGCATGTCTGTGTGTGTGTGTCAAAATCGTGATTAAAATCGAAATCACAAAATTGATCAAAGAAATCGCGATAGTTTTTTTTGTCCATATCGCACAGCCCTAATGGTGAATGAATTATGAAAAAAATCTAATTTTTAGGTGAACTAACCCTTTAGTTATTTAGCAAATTGATTGATTTATCAGTTTATTTTTTTCCCTCTATAGTCAAAATCATTCCATGCAGATATGATTTGTTTGTGGATGTCTGCTCAGATTGATCCAGAGGGGAGAGGGTTAGATATTAGATGCTTATTGAAAAATTTCCACTGAGTACAGACATTAGAAAGGCAAGTGAATGGAAAAAAATCCAGTGGAAGAAAAAGCGAGAGTCTCTTACTTGTGCGTCTGTGTCCGCTCTGTGTCTGCCAGACCCTTTGTGATAAACACTCTGTAATATCTTCCATTCTTTGCTCTCTGAAGGCCCTGCTGTTATGATTATGATTATTGCCACACTTTTATTGGGCTCATTGCTAAACACTCTTATTTGCTCCAGCGTCCTCCCACAGCTGCGGGCGAGCCGCTTATTACGTAGCTCTGGGCCTCTGAGTTCCATCCAACCAAACACATCTGCTTCCTCTAAAGCGGACATCTTGAAATGGCAAAGTTTATGGCTGTTTTATCTCATTTGGTTTTGTTGGACTAGGTACGAACTGAGCTTGTCCCAAATGGCACCCTCAGCCCCAACAAAGAGGTTTATTGAGGGCGGATTGCAGCTGAATAGGCGCTATTGAGCACCTTTTAACCATAAGATAAAAATGTGACAGCCTGTGATCTTGAGGATAGATACACGGAAGTGAACACCACAAGCGTGAACATCCACATCAAGTGTCCCATTTAAGACATTTTTTTTTGCATGCAGATGATGTCCTTTGTAAACTAAAGCAAATTACTGTGTAAATTACTGTATCAAATCCACAATTTGGCAACATAATTTCACAAAAGGGCGTATTGAGGGCACATTGAGACTGCATAGGGGCTCTGTTGATTACCTTATGAACCATGAGATTTTTGAACCGTGAGAAAAATGTGACAGTGATCTGTGATCTTGTGGACAGATACATATAAGTGAAGGCCACAAGATCGCATGTCCACATCAGGTGTCCTATTTGAGACATGCCCATTTTTAGCATTCAGTGAAGTCTCCGTTACCTTTAGTCATACTCGGTAATGTACAATAAATTATTTTATACATTACTACATCCAATCCACAATTTGGTAACATACACTGTAAAAAAATATGTAGATTTTACAAAATAATTTTGGCAGCTGTGGTTGCCAGAATAATTTAGTAAAAAATATGGAAAAACTGTACACACATTTACAGAACAAACGGTACAAACAAGCTGAAGTATACTAATATACAGAAGGTGCAAGAGTCATTCACACAAACACAAAACACCATCCTGGTAACATATGACACTTAAATAATGTAATAAACATTCATTAAACAATAGAAGATGTAACATAAAATCCAAATGTACCTAACTGATAACAAAAACTATTAACAGCATTTTACTGTAAAATTACATGAAATGTCTGGTTAGATCTTTTACAGTTTTTCCCTGTATATAACATGGTAACTTACTGTTAAAGGGTTAGTTCATCCAAAAATGAAAATTAGGCTGTAGATCATAGACAATTTTTAATATAACTCCGACTGGATTCGTCTGAAAGAAGAAAGTCATATACACCTAGGATGGCTCTGGGATGAGTAAAACACAGCCTAATTTTCATTTTTGGGTGAACTAACCCTTTAACCTATTAACAGTTTTTTTTCCCGCAATGCGTTTTTTCAATATTTTGCAGTTAAAATTACACAAATTTTGTATTGTAGGTTTTCAAATTGGCTTATCAAGTGTGCACTGCAGCTACATAGGGGTGCTATTGAGCACCTTTTAAGTCTTAAGTTTAAAATGTGACAGCCTTTGATCTTATGCATAGATACACAAAGAAAGCCAAAAGACCACACATCCACATCAAGTGTCCCATTTGGGATGTGTCCATTGTAACCATGCAGATGAGGTCTCCATTACCATGAGTCATACTTAGTAATATAAATTAAATTATTGGGTTCATAAAAGTCATAAGGCATTTCAACAAGATGTTAGGTTTTTGGCCATAAACATAAAGTTTGCAAGAAATGGTTTGGTTGGACATGGCCTTCTGGACCTGAATATTGCTCTCAAGAGTAAGAATAAAATGAGACATCAGTGTTTTAGTTGCAAGTAATAATACATAAATAAAGTTTTTATATGCAGTGCATTCAAAAATTTTCCCAGTCGAACACATTGAGTAACTGCATCAAAGCCAACAAGTTTTTGTAGCTGTTTTGACTGGATCTAAGATAATGTCATTGCCAGATTAGGTTTTCACTGTCTGATTGTTTAATTGACTAATTTGTTAAGTGAATAATTCAACACTGGCTGTTCTGATGAAGTCGTGAGAATATGTTCTCAAGTGTAATAGTATTAGCCTGAGAATCAAGTTTAGATCAGTGAGATAAAAGGCCAACCGTGAAAGGAACTGTTTCAAACTATATGAAATATCCTGAGTGACCTCTCAGAGTTTAAAGGAAAATACTAGCATCATTTTCTCACCATCATTTTGTTACAAAACTTTGTTATGCATTGGGAAACAGGATGAGAAATTTTGAAAAGTATACTGATAAGCTTTCAAGCTTCCAAAGACCACAAAACATCATAAAAGTATCATAATTGTGATCTTTTGATGTGTTATTAAAGCTTTGTATGAGGAACAAACAGAAATTTAAGTTACTTTTATTTGAATGATTGCAAATTGAACTGTCAGTGCCTGACAGATGAAGAGGGTCAGTAATAAAGCTCTAAAGGTGACGAGGCAGTGCTTGTTTGTCAGGTCAGTGTTGAGAGGTAGTTAATCAAATCATGTCTGGAATCATGTCGCGCTATTTTGTGCTTATTTTATTATTAAAGTTTTGTTTGAATGTTCGCCGGTTCCAGCCTCCTTCTTCCCGGGTTTCGGCACCAGTGTAACACAGTTCAAAATAGTGCGACAGCCCCTCGCGGACGACTGTCGCGCACAAACAGAACCAAAACACAAAATAAAATCCAGGCCTGGTCCTCTCTCCTCTTTCACTGTCGTAGCTCCTCCTTTTATCCTTCCGGAGCTCCTCCGTGGGACTCGAGACCGGTGAGTGGTGCAGGTGTCGCTCATTATCAATTACTCCACCGGCCTCACTCCGTTCCCACGGCTCTCTGCCCCGCCCCCACTCGTCATAATCAGATTTTGGAACATTTGAAGTGACCGAACCCAAATCCACAGCTTTTATCTCTATAATGGGTAAGTGCGAAATTGTATATTTTCATATTTTTTTCGTTTTCACTGACTAGTCATTTTATTTAAAGTAGATTTTATGAACCTTCTTAAAAACACTGGAAAAAAACCAAGAACCAAACACGAGGCAGTGACCAGAGACATTTGTCTGCATGTCTCTAGCATTAGGCCAGCATTTAAAAAATAACGCAAAATATAAATAAGCTGAATATCTGCTAAACATCTGTGTATATTATAATATTAAAGCTCAAACTAAGTAGAAACAATCTGTATAAACTATTCATCCTCATTAATCCATCCATCCATGTTGAACAGCTCTCTCGCTCAATTCACTATCACCATCTTTTTTGAACAAAAGAGCTTGTGTGTGAAAGTTCAAATACCAGTGAGGCCACATATTGTGGCTATCCAAAGAAAAACACGGCTTTCTTAGTCACTGTGATTATCAGCAGGGTGGAGAGACATAAATAGCACAAACTCTGATAAGGAGTAACAGGCATCCACAGTGCTGCTGTAGTCATGTTTTTGGCACTGACATTACTAAAAAAGAACTACAGAATGCAGGCGAGGAGGGAATGGAATGGAAAGAGAAAAGATGACAGGAGAGACATTTGGATTAGAGGAATGGGAGGTTTTTATGACACAGAGGTTCTCCACATTGGGGTCAAAACCACACATGGGGTCACCATAAATGCAAATGGAGTTGTGGGGGGATTTCAGTGAACTGTATTTTATTTATGATATAAATAAAAGCTTTGTCTAGCATGATTTTTATAGCCATTGCGTTGGCTAATCCTATGTATGAAATATGCAGCTTTTCTTGTGCTTAAAATATTATGAGATGTATGCTACAACGCAAGAGCAATTGTGAACTCAGTGTTTGAGTTCAGAAAACATTTTCATCAGACATTTCCTAAAAATGTCACGTGGTGTTACCATCAAATTAAAAGTAACATATTTTCTGTACACCTTTAAAACATATGAGTGTAAATGTGTATCAGAATAGAAAATAGTGTCTCGCATCATAACAAAATTTTATAAGCATTTTATTAGCTTGATTGTAATTCTATATTGGCTGCATAATATTAGGTGTCTGAAAAGTCATTCCAGCAGCTGAGGCTCTGAGGACTTTATACAGTTCGGAGCCCCATGTGTCCTATCTGTCTTTAGTGAAATTCCTCATTGTCTTCAGCACTCACTTCCCTTTTCTCATTGCCGTTCTCATTTGACCCCTTTCTTTGCTGTGTTCAGGTGGCATTACATCTGCGGCCCATCCAGTCCCTGCATGTGCACCAGAAACCTCTGGTCTTCGTCCTGAACTCCCCCCAGCCCGTCCTCTGGAAACTTCGGACAGAGAAACTGGCCTCAGGAGTCAAACGCATCTTCCATGTGAGTCTGAGTTGCTTTATGACTCTCTCTCAAACCGTTTCTCTCTATCACATCCCTGTCTCTCCCTATCCTCCCCAGCACTGCTTCTGAGTCATCTCCATCCACATTTTCTCAGTAATTAATATTCAGATTCTCATTCATTCCAAATCAAAAAGCATCTTTAAACACACAATTCATTTACACACTCTTTGGCTCGTCTTACCTTCCTCAAACAAACTTCTCCACTCTCCTGTCAGCAGAGGTCTTACTCACTCAAAGATGCATTCAGGTGTGTGTACCCAGAGGAAATACAAACAAGCTGACACACACACATCCATACACACGTAAACACACCCCATGCCAACACAACCATCTTTCAGACAGAAGCTTGTGTAATTGCATCTGGCACAGGCTTACAGGTTTATATTGACTGCTGTAGACTGTAGATGTTCACCACACTGTCTGACGGATGTTTGGTGGCGAGATGCTGCCGAGGAGGTTTATACTCTAGTTGTGGCTTCACTCTGTTCCCCACTGCTTTACCCATCGCTTTCACCACAGAAACACTTACTGCTCAGTGGGCGCTTTTTCGTAGTTTAGTTCTCAGTTATGCATCAACTTTGTATCATATGTTAATTCTAAAAAGTAAAAATGGGACAAATGGGACAATTGTTGACAAAGTAAAAGTGTTATTAATTAGTTATTTATATTATTAAGAGTTAATAATGTGAATAGTATGGCTTAGATCTCCGACTTTGGATTGCAAAATTTTATATCTTGGGAAATTTAAAAGTCTTCTGAGATCTCTACTGAAACTCTAGAGGAGACGGGTGAAATGAATCTGAGCAGCAGGACAGCCTCATTAATGAAACACAAGCAGAGCAGATTGTTGTAAATTGTTTGCAAAACTATCATTAGTTTTGGGGATAGATGTTTACTCTCAATAGCTATGTTTACATGTACACAGATAATCTGTTTATAATCAAATTGATGGTTTAATTGGATTGAAAACCTTCATGTAAACAATCCAAACGATCTGTCTGAGCTTCTCTAGCATGCATCCTAATATAGTTATCAAATAAACCTGGCATTATATATTAAAAATATTGTTAGCTCATTGGCAAATGGCTTTTGTTCTTCTTGTGTCGCTTTGGATAAAAGTACCCGCTTTTGCATTAATGTAAATGTTTTTCATATGTTTTACATTATATGAATATGTGTATGATTATTTACGTATGAATACTGAATATTTACTAAATAAAGGTCTTTTGACATGTTTGTCAACTTTCTGTTTAGGTATGTCATCAAGGCAAAAATGACAATTAAACTTATGGTAGCTCTGGTAAAATTATGATGGTGCTTTTTTTTTTGTTTCTGTTTGACAGGGCACTATGCATAGGCACTGAAGTTTTGTTTTATGCATCCCAATTGACAAAAAAGCGTATACCAAGTGTTTGTAGTGTATTGAACTCCCCTCCTCAAGCGCAAATTTTCTAAAATTAAAAAACAGATCATAAATGAAATAGGTCAAATATTTGGCTGATATTACAGGACTGAAAATAGTCTAGGTCTGTCACTAATGATTATTTTGGTAATCGAGTAATTGGTTGATTATTCTGATGATTAATCGAGTAATCTGATAATTTTTTTTGTGGTAATAAAAATAGACCTAAGTGAACAATAGACTTTAAAACGACTTAAAATACATATATAATTAATAGCAATGAGGCAATAATAATTGGTTCAAATACAATTTCAAAAGTAAGTAATCATTTGGTTTTATTGAACAAAACAGTAAAAAATGTAATAAAACAATATAATCGTAAATAATGTACATTATGCATTATATCAAATGCCTGCAGAGGGCACCAAGGGCCTGACAATTATTTTTACACTTTACAGAGCGATCTAATCCTTGTTTAATATTGACTAAACAACATTTAATTCAAATGTCCATCTAATCTTTAATACTTGGCCACTTCTTTATGACAGAAATGCTACAGCCAATGTAATTTCTTGAACAAGAGCATGTGGACATCGAAGCGTGCAAACTCAGAGCGAGGGTTTAACCTTTTATCTTGAAGTCGCGATGAACAGTTAACATATTTAGAAAGATAATGATGTATTCTACTTTGTTGGCATAGGTTTATAAATGATTTACCTTATTAGTCTGATAAAATGGTGCACATTTTTCCCAGATGAACGTTATAAGCGACTTTCTGCGCATGTAAATGATAACAGTTTGTGTGGAGCAGCATTTACTATGAATGGAGCCGCTCTGAGATGCACGTAACCTACATGCATATAAATAAAGCACATATTAAACCCGCAGCACATATAGGCCTATTTAATTGAAATGCAGCCTCTATGATTTCACCATAGCACTATGATTTATTATGATTTTTTAACGGTTTTAAAGGGGTCATATTATGCGATTTCAATTTTTCCTTTCTCTTTGAACTGATACAAGCTCTTGGTGCATAAAGAAGATCTGTAAATTTGCAAAGACTAAAGTCTCAAATCCAAAGAG